TTCAGTCATTCTACATTTATTTATTTTTTACTGTATTTTATGGCCAAGTTATATTTTTAAAGAGTTAAAAATAATTTTTAAAACCATTAGAAACAATATAGAATCTCAAAAAACAATGTATGAATTCAACAATGGTTGCTATATTGCATATTATTATCTTCAAAATAGTTGTTCAGATTATCAGACATAAGCATACAAAATTGGTCAAAAACATTAAGCATTGTTTCTTTCAATAAACCAATAGACATTAGTAGTACAATTAGCTATCATTTGTATGTGTTTCTATATTTCCCTCCTTCAATCTTTCTTTCTTTTCTCCTTTCCCTCATCCCAGTTGTTCTTCCTTTTGAACAGTTTCTTTCTCATTCATAATATCTATTATAGCTTTCAGATTTTATTTATTCTTTCAGGTTTTTACACTAGGGAAACAAAACAATGTCTACACATGCAGGTCTGATTTATTTCACTGAGAAGTATGGTCTCTACTTGCATTCATTTACCTAAAAAAGCCTTGAGTTTATCTTTCTTTATAGCCAAGTCATTGTGGTATCTACATTTGTTTATTAAGACCCTACATTTGTTTATTAAGACCACAGGGGCTGGGGAGATGTCTCAGTAGAATAAACGCTTGCTTGGCAAGTGCAAGGGCCTGAGTTCAATCCCTGCTTCTGCCAAAAAAAAACCCCATACTATAGGGACTACAGGGTTCGATCCCCAGCATGCTGTGCCAGCCCCACCCTTGGGGCAGCCTGAGAGGGAGACTGAGACTGGGTGTGGTGATGCACGCCTGTAATCCCAGCACTTGAGAGGCTGAAAAAAGGAGGATCACTATAAGTCCCATCTGTGTAGTGAGACACTATAGATCCTATACTAAATATGTAAAAATAATAATAAAAATAATAATAATGATGATAAAAGACCACACTGTACATTAGGTTTGTGCTGGTTAATCCACACTGGAAGGTGGAATAGGAAGACTAGAATGGTCAGTCCACAACTATAGTGAGTTTGGTGCTAAGATCATGTAATGAATATAAAAGGCATAAAAGGTTAAGGAGAAGAATCTTTAGAACCAGTAGCTTCTAGAGAGTCACAGTATTCTGTACTATTCATGAAATAAAAACAAAAGTTGGATCAACTACTTTAAGCAAGGAAATAGCATTTAATAGCATGTGAGTCAAGAAAGGGATATTAAAAAGAATATCTGAGCTGTACAGAAGGACATTAAAGGATATACAACTTGAGCCATAGAAACTATATAAAATGTCAACAAATTGTTATAAATCTTTATAACTAATATTACTAAGAATCACTCACTGTTCTTGATACGTAAAGCGTTTTGGCAACTAAGCAGAAAAATGAGAATATAGATCTATAGTTGGTCTGTTAATGTATAAGAGAATGTTTCAGCTCACTAAAAATAATTACAGTTTTTAAAAGGGGAATATTTTATTGCAAATTTAGGGAAAAAAAAAAAAAAAGATACCATGTCAAAACAGAACTAGGAGCTCCATAAAATCTTTCTGGCTCAGGCCAGCAACTCCTCGAGCAACCCCTCCCTCAGGAATGTGGACTTAGGTTTTTCTCATCAGGTCCTGTGCTTTTCTCACTAATAAAGGGGAGACACTTCAGGCAGTTTTCCTGTGGGAATCTTCTCTTTTGGAGAGGCAATACTAGGGACCAACACCGACAACACTAACAAAGGGGGTTATAAATAAGCTTTACAACATCCCAACATCCTGAGACTCACAGGATGTTTTCTTTAAAGGCCAAGATAGGTTTAGCTGCTAGGATGACTGCCTTTAGTTCACTTCTGTATCTCTACTTGCTTGACACCCCAAGTCAGATAAATGGGGGCCTCTTCTTGGTTTGGAGCGTAGCCTAGTTTTGAGAATTTCTAATGGCTGGGACAACACACCACTAAAGTCCTCTTAAAAATGTCTCCTCTTCTGTTCCGTTTCTTGGAAATTCTGCAACAATGTAATGACATAAGATTGTAGAGAAACAGGCCCTCCTAAACAGAGTAAAAAGTAACATCATCTATTTGGAGAGTAATTTAGCAGTATCTATTAAAATTTAGTATAGGCATCCTCTGAGTGATCTGTGCCAACACACACTTCCTGTAATTTAACTTAATGAGGAAAACACCTTACCAAATAGAAAAGGTGAACAAACTGCTATAAAAGTATAGGATGATTTGAGAGGGCAGAAACTAATATGAAGCTTTCTGATTTACCTGGTAATCTAAATTGGAGTAAAAAAAAAAAAATGAGTAGGAAGACAGCCAACCAAAAGGTGGGGAAGTCTTCCAGATAGAAGGACAAAAACAAAATACAAAGATGTTCAGGACAGAAGTATTTCAAACAGAAAGCATGACCACAATAAAAGAAGAGTAATAGTCTGTACACTTGATCACACTGCAGAAGCAAACTGAAAACTTTACATTATTCTGAGGTCAATATGGAAGGTCTAAACAGAAGAACACGGAGATCAGACTTGGGATTCTAAAAGGTCATCTTTAAGAATTATTAAAATTTTCCATTACTAAACTGCCCTAAAGTTTGTAAAATCACAAGTTTGTCCTATTTAAATATATATACTCTGACTATATATTTATGAAGTACTGTATTTTTCTTTACCCATATTTTAAAAAGTACTAGAACAGTTAATTTTTAACACTTGCTGTTATCAATTTAAGGTTCAGTCAAAAGTTCATAATTTTATAAAATGTAGGATGTATTTGAAAAATTTATTTTGTTTCCTTTATACAAAATAGCACAGAGTTGGGCTCTTTGATAATGGTGCCTAATCGATTATTTCATAAGCAGGCCAAACAACATCCATGAAGGCAGGATGTAGTTTTCAGTGAGAATAAATAATTTCTTCTCCCTTCCCAAAATTCTGTTCCTGGAAAGATAACAAAGTGTAAAGGCTACCTAGCAAATAAATACCTTGTTTCATTAAAGCCTCAAGGAAAAATAACAGCCATATTCATTATAGAGAGATTAATTTCAACAGCACTTGGGGAACACGTGGGAAGTGTGTTAACTGCTGTGGGAGCTGCCAAACGGACTGGCAGAGCCCTCTTCTTAGTGTGCCTGGGTAGTGCAAGGCGGCGTGGCCCTGGGTACTAGACCTGGTCCTTTACCCCTGTCTCTCTGGCAATGTTCCCTGCTGTTTCCTGGCAGGCACGCACTAAACAGCTCTGCCCCTTCAGGCCCTTCTGCCCTGATGTTCTTGTCTTGCAGCCTGTTGTCTTTGTGTTGAATATCCTGAAACTGCGATCTAAATTAAACCTCTCCTCCTTTAAGTTGTGGGTGGTTGATATGACCCAGCAAATGGAAAGCTAATCCATACAGAAAGCTGAAGAAATAATTACCAAGAAAAGTTTACTGAACTCTGTAATCTATTAAAAGATATAAGCAGCACCAATGTATTTTAAGTATTCTCTCAAACTGAATTATTTACATTTTTGTTCCATTTTTTTTCTTACAGTACATTCTATACATCTCCACAAACTGATTGTCATAAGCCATATCATAGTATCACATTTCTTCCTTATTTGGAAAGTGTCAGTGATTTCTCATTACTTTCAAAACAGTCTCAACTTTGCCATTTGCCATTCAAGGCCCTGATACAGCTTTTTCTAAGCTATACGATCACTTTAATTTGGCTTTACAACTTCCATATATCTGGCTGCAAGGCTGTCAGCCATCAAAATGCTAGACATTCTTCAAGGCCCAGGTTGTATTTCATCTCCACTGATCACTATGAAGATGTGAAATCACTAAGTATTAGAGGATTTTAAGTTGGAAAAAAACACCACCAAAGTGGATTATTTTTCACCTACAGCAAAATTGTGAAGGGACTACAATGATCTGTTTTAAAACCAAATTAATATTCAATGCAGTGAAAGTTTTAAAATTTGTTGTACATTTTTACATACCTTACTCAAAGTATAACTTAAACTTTCAGAAGAATAGCCTTCAGAAAAATTTGGTGAAGTTACTTTAAGTCAACTGAATTTTACAAGGGAATAAAATGAAGTGCCTTACAGATAGAAAACAAAATTTGTTGATTTAAACACCCAAGCAAATTGTTCTCTAAAGCAGTTTTGAGATTTGGTGGGATTATCGGCAGAAGCTTTCAGGGAGAAGTGTTCTCTGATCACTTCTTACTTTACTAGTTAAGAGTAATCATACTATCTACTATCTATCTAATCAAGGAAAGTTTTCAGAGTAAAAGAGGTCACTATAGTTACCCCATGTAAGTATGGTGGCTTGCAATCCCAGCTACTTAAGAGATAGGCTGAAGTAGGTGGGGCATCACATTCAAGGCCATCTTGATCAACTTAATAACACCCTGTCTCAAACATTTTCTTACAAAAGAGTTCCCAGAGAATCCACGTACTTACCTAGCATGGACACCCAAGACCACCATTTAAAAAAAAAAAAAAAAAAA